AGGTTCACCTGATTAATGGGTATCGAAGAAATTATGTCCATCTACTACAGCGTTCTGTAATACACTTATGAAATATACTCTCCAAAAAAGAAACGCATCATGAAAACGTGATTCATTTTACAAAAGGTTTTGCTCTGTTTATGAGTCCTATTGTGTTTATGGTTTGAAACATCACAACAAAACGCACCATCCGTAAAATACCCGTATTTAACAGCATGATTTTCAATTTCGGCGTGTAGTATCACAGAATACACAATTCACATGCAATGTACGTGAAAGTTGGGGATCAGATAGTTTCAATCATGGGTATAAAAGGTTGATCGCTGTCTGTCGATTATTCACTGTATTTGGAATATTGTTGACGAACGCAAAATGCCACCGTCTAAGTGAAGCCAACCGTCATATCGCCATTGGTTTGCTTGAAGCTGGCCAGTCTCAACGTGGGTGAGGTATCGCCGGCAGAATGCGGTAGCAGATGCCCCTCGTAGTGGGCGACCTCGAGCGACCACTGCGGCGCAGGATGGCTACATCCGGGTACATCACCTGCGTCTACGGTGACCAGTACCGCTCGACAAATACCCGGATTGAGGAGGATTTCTGCACAGACCGTCAGGAACAGGTTTACGTGCCAGAAGACCTTGTTTTGGCCCTGTGCTTCGACAACAACATCGTCGACATCGAGTTCAATGGTAGGCCTGGAACCTACCGAATTGGCGTAGAATCTGGTTCAGTGATGAATCACGATTTCTATTGGAACGACGAGATGGAAGAATGCGGGTGTACAGACGTCGACGTGGACGTTTCGCCGAGGCATGCGTTCCCCAGGTGGACAGATTCGGCCGTGGAAGTGTTATGATGTGGGGGGAGATCACCTGCCGCAGGAGAAGTGATTTGGTGATGATCCAGGGCAACCTGACAACTCAACGGTACTGTGACGAAATCCTACGCCCGCACCGAGGTATTGACTTCAGCACCACCACACGTCTCCATGTGACACTCAAACTGACTTTCCTCGAGTTGGTGCCAAAGACGGATAAGTCTGCATTCCCAGTGTGCAATTTCGCTATATTTCACTGTCTCATAAAGCCTGCAAGATGTTTCAAAATAAACGTTCAGTTAATACAGTTGAAATTCCTATATGCGTTTTTTTTTGGGGGGGAGAGTATATGATACATGTTTTCCGACCGTGAAGTCATTTAAAAGAATTATGCATTTTATGCAGTCACTTGTGAATTGAACTAAATGAAGGTCCATCTGATTAATGAGTATCGAGGAAATTATGTTATCTATAAATTAGACGCAGCTTCATGCTTTCAAGACATCTCTCCGGAATATGCGTCTGTGAAGGCGTTCAGATAATGACAATATTGCACAGTATTATTCACTAGATTCCTGTCAACAGAAAGGTCGGATAAAAGATAATTTTTTATTCAGCAGTGTTGGCCCTGAGGCCTATAGTACAATTACAGTTTGATCTGCTTGCACGTGGTGCTAGTAACATATTAAGTTTCTATTGGCATTGAATGCATATTTCAGATAAAAGCTAATGGTATTATTGTCACAACATCTATATTGTTTGATGTTAAAAGATTTGGCAATGTGCGTTCATACATTACACTTTTTGACAGACTTGGCAAATAATTAATAAATGATATTGATAGCATCTTCACGACTTGGCCATACAGTCATGACAATTTAAGGAGTGAAACGTGAGTGATAGGTCTTGTGGGAATTCAAAGATTCATTCAGACTGTAGCCGTCTAAGCTTAACTCTGTGTGTAATATTTATACATTTTCTATCCACGGACAACATGCTTCTAATATTAATATTATTTCCATGGATTCATCATATTTTATCTATAGCTGTGCCATAGTTTTTCATTAAAATGTCTTTTCTGTTGTTGGAATTGAAGTAAGTCCTACACAGAGCTGGGATCATATGTCTTTGAAATATAAATTACACAAACGGCTGGAACCTTGTGTTCCAATACAAAACGTTCGTAACGCTACGACATTCGCATGCCTATGATAAACTATAGAGTTGGCCTCAACCATTGACTGGATTACATTCTCTTCGTCAGCAGAGAAATTTCGACTTCTCTTTCTCCTTGGGGTGCAGGCGACATTTTGCGTTTTCACTTTTTGTAAACCGGAAGTGAACTGAAAACGGAACTATGGGATATATGGAAGCTAACCAGTGACGTTAACCACACTGTTAAACTTTGACGGCGACGTTAGCTAACGGCATGACTAACCATGATTTGAACAACGCATATTTAACGTTCGGTTACCTAACGGAGGGTTAAGGATTTAACCAGCCGTTAGGAGTTAACCGACGGTTAAGATAACCGAGTATTGAACAACCGGGACCAGATAGATAGTTAGTTAACCAACTAAGTACGTTACCACGAACACCATCATTTTCTAATTTGTGCAATAAACCTTAATGCCATGCCCTGTAAAAAGCGTTTGAAATATCACAAAACAGCATACAGTAAAGGTGGTGATTATCTAGGACTTAGCATATATTATTATAAATGTCTAGTAGAATGACTAGCAGTAAAACCTGACTGGAATTTACTTAAAATGTTATGTTCATGGAAGTGGTCGTGCACATGCTTTACCATTATTCTTTCAAGGATTTTCCAAAGGATAGGTATTAAACTAATAGGTCTGTAATTAGTTGGGAGGGAAGCATTTCCTTCTTTCAAAATAGGAGTAACAACCCGTTTTAGACATTGTGGGAAATACAGTCACTCAGTGATATATTATACAACAAACAAAGAGGTTCAGCTAGAGATGTACAAATTCGTTTTTAACACTCTCATGTTAATGCCATCAGGTCCACTAGATTTGTTTGCTGGTAAGGTCTTATCAGATACCTCCTTTTCGGTTACAATGACATTTGTTATACTGTTAACACAGCGATGGCTAACAGCTGGCAAAGTCTTGTCGCCATCAGTAACATTTGAATCATATACAAAATATTCATTTAATGTTTGAGCTGTATCCAAATCTGTAAAAACTGAAGGTATCCCAGAATCATCAGTGACAAGAAGGGGAATGGGTCCCGATGAAGTAGTAACCATCTGATTGAGTAGACTGAGGTGATAAATAGTTATCAAAAATAGATTAAAAGTTTCCCTTGGTTATTCTTTTTCAGATTTTTTACTTTATTCCTTTGCTTTTTGTATTTTAATAGCTCAGAAGTATTCAGAGATCGACAGTATTTTTCCTTAGACGTTCTCATTTCTTTTAAACTCCCTGGGGACTGTACAGCCATGCTGCCTGTTAGGCGCAATGAACTAAACACTCACATTGCCAGCACATACTCACGGGTACCCATTTTACAGCTGGGTGAACTGAGACAGTGTAGATCTAAGTATCCTGTCCAAGGATACTACGCAAATGTGCCCATCTCGGGAACCGAACCTCGGTGCCTCCTCGAAACATGGCCTTCAGCGTGATAGGCAGACGCCTTACAACTGCACTATTGCGCTATCTCTTGGATAATGGTATACCCTCAGATAGTATCATATAAAATATGTTCAGCATAGTATTGGATGACTTCCCGTCATCATCAACATTCAAAGATTTGGATTGCTTGATTTACATTTAGACGGGGACTGTTTTTTTAGGACACCCTCATTTTAAAATTTCAAAAACATTGTGTCCAGATATACAACATATTGAGAGCTGACACTTGTGTGACCATTCAGTATTTAGTTTGAACCCTTGACACCATGTATGAATAAGTGAAAACTTTAGGATGAGTTATATCCTTATGATGACGTCAACTGAAAGGGGGTGAGTAGTGTCTCCAAAACAAGCCCTCTCAGTAAACATGAAGTCACTTGAACAAGGGATTGTAGTTTCAAATTGCCTTTTTGTGCAGTTTAATATCTAAGTTTGATTCTAGCCGACCTCTACCAATCTCAAACATAGCATATTTTGTTTCCTGAAGTTTGTGATGCATTTTATTGCAGATTTTCCGGTTTTTTTGGAGTACCGAGCCAAGATACAAAGTCTCAAAAAATGGGGATCGTGAGGCTGCAACATAGCAAAACCAATTTTTGTTTCCTGAAGTTTAATTAGTGATGCATTTCATTGAGACAGATCATTTAGCAGACCCAGTGCTGTACTCTGGAACTGATTACCTGAAAATGTCAGAAAATCAGAAAATATCAACAGTTTCCGATCTTGTCTCAAAACCATCCTCTTCAAACGAGCGTTTGACTAAGTGCACATGAGCAGGACTCTGGATATGTAGCGCTATACAAATGTCTAATTTGATTTGATTTGATTTGATATACCCGTTAGAAACCCACCCCAATCCCATCCCACCCCACTGTATATTTATACATATCAAAACCTCAACAGATATTTGCGAAAAGACATGATACAGAGGACAGTAAGAGATTTTATATCGATTATGTACCAGGATGAATGTCATTTTCGTCATTTGGCTAAGATTTATCAAGTCTTTCTTGGGGTTATCGCGCTAACAATCTTTATATTGGCAAAACCCTCAGATTATTGCTGTGACCTTGAAAATTATCTCAAGGTCACTCCATTTCATTTGTGTCGGTGAATCTCGCCAATATACCTTGGTACCAAATTTGAACAAAATCCATCATTTCTTTCTTGAGTTATCGCCCTAACAAGCTTATTTGATGTATGAAATGCAACGAAAAACAAACACCCGCGTATTTACGAGTGATTAAAACTGTTATTACAATTTACGTAAATATTTATTACATTTTACCGCAAGGAAAATTATTACAAGTTACGTCAATTTTTATTATAATTTGCGTATTACAATTTACGTCAAATTTTATTAGAATTTACGTTTTTATTACAATTTACGTCAAGTTTATTACAATTTGCTGCAAGTATTACAATTTGCGTTTTTATTACAATTTACGTCGTAACAGACCCCCTTTATCTGTTTGATAAAAGTTGCAGGAAATTAATCTGTGCGAGATGCAGATTTGAAGATCATGCTGACCACGAAGTGGGGGAAGGTTGATGTGGCTGCTGAAACTGTAACAAAACAAATGGAATATCATAAGAATGAACTATCAACGTTACAGACTCGCCATCAGGCATACGTGCAGAGCATCAGGCAAGGAACCGAAGCCACTGACAAAACACACCATTCTTTGAATGAAAATATTCGTCACATTTTCCAATCTTTGAGATCACAACTTGATCGAAGAGAGAAAGAACTTCTCGTCGATCTGGAAAATCATACGAAGGATACAAAGGCAACACAGCATGCTCTTCTCACCACCTGTGACGAAGACAAAAAGACCTGCACACGGGTTTTAGACTACATCAGCAATATCTTTCTCTTTGCCTCAAAGTCAGACATCCTGGGCCTGGAGAAATATGTTGGGGAGATGACTCGGACCTGCCTAGACAATGCCGCGCCTCAAACAGATTATGCAGTACCCACAGCTGACTTCAACACCAACGGCTTGTCAAAGCTGAAAGCGAATGTGTCCGGATTTGGTGCCATTTTGACGATGGATATGGACGGAGAATCGGTGAATGGTAATCTTTTGAGGGTCATTGCTGGTCAGTTAATTATGTTCTGTCTAACATTTGTGTATGTTTTTGGGTCTACTATTACTGTATGCTACAGCCTTTCTTTACATTAGTTTCTAATTGGAAGTTCAGTGGGTTTAGTGAAGATTTATGATTTGTTATCAAACCTGTGGCGTTGGTAACATGCACAAAATTTTGTTCCACTGTCTATCCATGTAAATCTTCCGGACCATGCCAAATTTTTGTGTTGTTTCAGACAGGGGTACTCAGACTGATGATGGCTTTATGGCAGACGTGGAACTGAAACGCAAAATGGTGAGAGTACATCATACTCATACTCACATCGTGCCTAAGAGGCGACTGATGGGATCGAGCAGTCAGGGTTAGAGCACTTCGAGCAGCGAAGACCAGGGTCAAAATTAGTCTTCAGCAATCCATGCTTGTTGTAAGTGGACACTAACGGGATCGAGTGGTAATGCTGACTGAATTAGTGGACTCGTGTCATCGTATCACAGTTGTGTAAATCGATGCTCATGTTGTGCATCACTGGATTGTGTGATCCAGACTCGATTATTTACAGGCCGTCTCCATACAGCTGGAAGACTGCCGAGTGCGGCGTTAAACAACATACCAACAAAAAGTCCCCACCAAGATCGATGATCATGATGTTGATTACTGGTGATCTTGTCAAGAATCATTAATCACAGACTGCTGTAATATTGCTGTAATAGTGCGGCTTAAGATAACCAACAAACACAGTTTAACGCAATGGAGACGTTACGTTCTTTTCGGGATCATGTTTTGTTTTGGCGTATGTTTTCAGCTTGGGTTCAAGCCTATACCATCGGGTTTGTTTATGCAGTTACATTAAAGGTTCGTTATTTTACCTTGTAGTTTTTGTACTCATACCATTGTAGTTGCTAAATTGTAAACAGAAGGTTTCACTTTCATTCATTTCACAAGTCTGATTCGTGACCTGATGTGTGCCACCAATATTCTTGTCGCAGTTGTGTAATCGTCCATAACTGCCTTATTTAATGCATACAGATATGCCTTTGTTGTAAATAATACCCCTGTGGCACAGACAACGGGGAAAAAAGAACCTATCATATGAACAAGAAGATAAGATCCCATCCGTTTTAGTCACGCTAATCAGGAATGTTGACAGAAATTGAGAACGTTCTTGAGAAAATTCTTGATTTTTTCTAATTTAATTTTGTGCTGCCAGAAATGTTTCAAAAAGTCTAATATTGTACAGGGTTTTCTTCACAGTGTTTATATTTTTATTGAGGCGGATCACCTCATCAATATCAGTTTCTGATACCTGGCGGAGTCGATTTGTCGTCTGCTTTATGGTGATTTCCTTTGTTGGCAACTTTGTTAGACGATCGCCTTTCAATTGTGCCTCATAATCCGTTCCTTTTGAACAAAGTACTCAGTTTCATGGTTCCCAAAGTAAATTACTGCAGTAACGACCCCATAACCTCTGTCGTCAATTCTTACGTAATCACCAATTTTGATAATGGGGGAAGCCATGTTTATTTACAAACTCGCCCACCAAACTAGAAAAAAACTGTAAACTCGCAAAGACGTAATCAATGAAAGATTTACCTCTTAGGATTCGTATGGCGTGTATGGAGTTTTGTGAAAGTAGTTCGTGTATTGACGTCATTTGCATAGTTATCAGATTTGAATGCCAAGTTTATCAGATTGCTTTATTGCACCGATAACACCCTCCATTAGATGATAAACAACTTTATCATTATCTTATGTTCCAGGACATGGAAAAACTAAAGACGAAAATCGATTCAGATGAGAATAAGATTGGAAGCCTTACAAAGCTTACAGACAAGCTTCATTCCGAAATCAAAAGCTTGAAAATGGTGTGTCTATTATTCTAATTATAGAATAGTGTTGTCGCATGTATCCTGATGTTTCATATCGTTAGCTATATCAGTATCTACCCTTATTTTTAACGCAGTGTTATTAAATATATAAACTACCAGGCAAAAGAAAGCTATCACTAAATAGAAACAAAGCCTAATGTGAGATTTATGATAATTATTTTACAAACATAAATATTTTTTGCAATTATGTAACTGATCATTACTTGTGAAGCTGGTATTGTATTTCCAGCAATTCAATTAGAAAGAGTCAAAGGGACAAAAGAGTTCAGAGTTCATTAAAAAAACAAAAACAACATAAACAGTGACAAAATGAGACGTGTGTGTCCCCTCATTGACGTCGTCAACTGGCAGATGACGTCAGCAGGAATCCTATTCCCTAAGTCCAAGACAGTCCGTTCAAGTTCCTGTTGGGTGACTAAGGATGGCACACAGTCTCTGTCCAATTTCAGTATTATGCCACAATTTTACAGATGCATGTTCTATAATTACGTTTACCACGTTTTGAAAAAGTTTTCGGACAGCTGCGTTCTTTTCGGATCATGTTTTGTTTTAGCGTATGTTTACTGCTGGGTTCAAACCTATACCAGCGTTTTTTCTTATACAATTACATTAAAGGTACGTTCTTTTCCCTGGTAGTTTATGTACTCACCCCATTGCAGTTGCTAATTGTAAGCAGAATGTTTCACTTCCATTCTTTTTACAAGTCTGATTCGTAAACCTGTTGTGTGCCACCATTATTCTTGTCGCGGTTGCGTAATCGTTCATAACTGCATTATTTAATGCATACAGACATGTCTTTGTTGTAAATAATACCCCTGTGGCACAGACGCAGACAAGATATTTTTGATCTCATGATATATACATGTATGTTGTACTTTTAACGGATTGATGAGAAAGAAACCACCGAGAAGAGGGATGCCAAAACAATAGATTTCTTGCTTGGTAAATCCATGTTTTCCTTCTTTTAATGAGAAGATTGAATATGAGACTCGAATATCCCTTTTTCTAATCCACTGGTTCCCGAATATTATCTCAGTGCATCTTTATATCGAATTATTGTTTTGGCTTAGACTTATCAAGTATCATCTCACCAATGATATGACATAAAAGTTCCTATGTCTCATCACACGTGTGTGGTGATGTGACGGCTGGTGTTGCAGGTGTAGCCAGAGAATGTGGTGTCCATCTGCTGAAGCCAGGAGCTGTAGACAGATCTTGCATACTGAAGTGTGAGTATATTTACCTTGTTTTCCTATTTACATAATTGAAGTCCTAAGTAATGTTAAAAGAATACTGAAACATAAGGGCAGTTCATGTCATTCCGTCTCATTTGCGCGCTCGATGCTCAAGGTATCAGTCACTAGATTCAGGGTTTATGCTTTTGTGTAAACATGTATTTATAGATCTATATGCATGGACACATTTTGATAATCTCTGTATTAAATGTATAATAAACAACTTCAAAATGTCTCGTCTTCGATTTTGAAGACCTTGAGCAATTTTCCTTTCGGATTATGTTAACTGTGGAAGATGTATTTAGAGATACTGGTCCCGGAGTAAGTCCGATGCTCGTTATCAATGTGACCCTTGGCAGGTTTAGATTGAGGAATGTGTCAGTTCGTCTGTAATATTTCTAGTTTTCAATAACACCTAGCGGTATAAAATATTGGTAAAAGTTTATCTAATTTTTCCGTGTTAATACATGTATAGGTTTATATCACCTCCTAACACGGGTTACAACAAGGGGGAGTATTAACTGCTGTATTGCATGTGAAAAACTTATGGGCCGACACTGTTTTGAGAATACGAACAGAACTTCATTGTTGCATAAGAAATATATATAAACATTTGCTGTGTGCTAAAACTGTATGTACCTATTTACCCAAGTAAATTTTCAGATTCTTCTAGCAATGGCATCGTGGGGTTGTTTAGTTTACGGATTCAACTAAATCAAATGTCAATTTTTAATATCATACCTAATAGACGTCCTATTTTTACGTGACATGATTAAATATCGAGGTGGAAAAAAAAGCAAAGGGATCAATTTATAACAGTCATCATACCATCCAGGCATAAGAAAACCTGAAAACATCACAACACCAAAGTGCGCGGCGGCGAGATAGCATGTGGTGACAGGGTTTGAGCCACGATAAAAACACGTAAATTTGACACAAACATTATTTATATATTAAATTTCATAGACAGGATTTAGCGCACGTCACAAATCAGGTGAAGATACCAACGTTGGTCACGGAGAGTCCTTGGATGGGTGACCTGTTTGGCAGCTTGACTCCTGACGGTTTCTAGGACTACTCTCCTGCCCTACAACTAAGCACACGTGGTCTCACCTTAGGCAAGAGTGTTGTTCAAAACTGCCTCTGTTCACCCATCAGAAAATGGGTACCAGGTGAGATAAGTCATATGACTATTTACCTTCTAGCGCTTCAAAGGTAGCTTGAGTATCCGGAGTAATGATATCTATCATGTTGTATGCGCTTAGAGCAGGTCCCTGCGTCGTGGAGTTCAGTGCTATATAAGCGGCCTTATCATTATTCAAGATTTAAGAAGGTGGAACGCAGAAGGTCTGGTGAACGATACCAACGCTTGACTGAACATTCTGTGTCATTCAAACAGTGACAATAGGCCTTTGCTGAAAGCAGCTTGAGTGCGTAATACTACAGACTAGTGTGCGTGTGTGGGAGGGAGTCTGAGTGTCAGTGTCTGTGAACAGTACAGTAAGCAGTGTGACATGCTGTTAACGAGAAACAGAAATAGAAATGTTTGCCGAGATATTGGTGAGAATAGAGTTTTCAAACTCGCTTAACGTGTGATTGGTCAGACGTATTTCGGTTGCTTACTGATAATCAGATAAGTAGCAGATATGCTCCAAATCTCTCATTGATTGCTGTTCCTGACAGTCAGTGAGTGAGTGAGTGAGTTTAGTTTTACGCCGCACTCAGGAATATTCCAGCTATATGGGGGCGATCTGTAAGAAATCGAGTCGGGACCAGACAATTCAGTAGTCAACAGCATGAGCATCGATCTACGTAATTGGGATACGATGACGTGTCAACCAAGTCAGCGAGCCTGACCACCCGATCCCGTTAGTCGACCATTGCGACAAGCATTGGTTACTGAAGATCAATTCTAACTCGGATCTTCACAGGTTTGTTTCTAGGAGAATAGGACACTACTTAAACATTAAAAACATATCATACAAACATTGCGTATACGAACTTAAACGACTCTACTCGGCTGAGTGGGTTAGTAAGTGAGTGAGTGAGTTATTATTTAACGTCACATCGGCAATATTTCAGCCATATCGTGACTAAAACTAGTTCTAAATTCATACAACATACATATAATATATACAACCCTGTCAACGAAGGACGGTAAAACATTTAGATTATCACAGATTGGGCTGAGTGGGTTAGATGGCAGAGTTTGCGTGCTGGCGGTTAGGTTCCCGACTCTGAGAACGAGGCTTCTAATCCCGGATGGGGATCAAACTAACCAAAGAACAGTACTAGAATATTTACTTTACTGAGAAAGTGTAAATCCAAATATAATGCGTGACTCAAATATTGTTTCGCTTGCAGTATGGAGCGAATGGCGAGGAGTAGATTTAATATATTTGTAGGACACCTTTCAGTTCATTGGATTCTATATGCACTGGAAAAAAAACAGAATATGCGGACAAGACCAATATGACGTCTTACAGATTGAAGTATGACTTGTGACTGGTCAGTGATAACGATGCTATGATTCAACGTATTTACATTCACAATGCCGAGACAGTTAATATACACAACAGTGCATGCAGACAGACAGACAGACAGATAAGTTTACTCAGTTTCACCCCGTGACTTCGTTTAAAAAAACATATAAATTAAACATAAATGTAGATTGATGCTCACGACGTCCACCACTAGTGTGTTCGGTCCAGACTGATGTTGCAGACTGCCGTCATAAAGCTGGAATATTGTTAAGTGAAGGCTTACACAAAACAGACGATACATTAGACGACGAAATATAAACTGCTACTTTTGAGGCAAACTTCGTCAGTAAACGAAATATATGTCACCGTTAAAATAAACATAAACACGTATCGTATTTACTATTGTAATGCGATAACTATCCCACGCCATCGTCCGGAAGTGACGTACGTGTCAACAGTGGAGGGCGTTACCAGTCCAGGTAGGTGTGTTGTGTTTCGTCTCTCACTTTGTCTTCCTGTTAACTGTTCGATATTGTGGGTCAAATATTGCGTACATATGTCACAAAGATACCAGGATGCTGAACATGACAGCTATACTTTCATGTATGCAGCATATAGCCTGGAAATAAGCGTTAAATTGCCATACATATTCCTACTCTTGCTTTAGAACTAGGTCGGGCTTCATTCACGATAGTCATGACTCACTTAACTACTGTTATGTTGTGGGTGGGTGACACGCGGTTGTTGGGAACAATGTCAACGCGGCTTTGAAAGGCGTGCATGTCTTAATGCCACGTGGGTATTTCACTGGGTGTATTTAAATGACAAATACTGTACGAAAACAGACTATAGCCGAGACATTACATTTGTCTGACTGCCACACAACACGTTCCTATGCTTTGTATCAAAACTGCTGTGTCCCTGTAGACCTACTGTCACTGCATTCACCATTCATCTTTCAATATATTTGCTTGATAATATGATTAAATGATATTTATCCAAGGCGGCTTTTGTTATGGTGTATTACAGTATATTTATTCTGTTAGATGGAAGTCGATTTGTACTGTGATAGCCACAGAATGAATGTGCGTTATGATGGTTTAGTGCTCAGAGGATGTAGTGTGGCGTGGGTAATTTTGATATTGCTGGATATGTACTGGATGGACGTATTTGGAATCGTACAGTTATGTGCAGTAAACGTTAAGTTGACAAAGATCCATTCGGATCACAACGTTGATCAAAACTGTTTCTTTAGATGCAAATATGCGGTTTATGTCTACCAGAATGGACGCCTTCCCCAAGTGTTCTGTCTGTCAGCAGCAGTTTACCCCGAAGGGCCCCGCCCCCTTCCTACTGCCCTGTCTACACGCTGTGTGTGAGACGTGTGTGACATCTGCAGCTGGCGGTGTGATATCATGCTCTACATGTCAGAGGGAGGTCAACCTCACAGACACAAACCTCCAGAAGGATACAGTGAGACAGAAGGTAATATTCCATCTGACGGTCAAACATCGCCCCACAGAGCTTCTCTGTACAAATGAAGATGACGGCAACCAGGCTGTGTGTTGGTGTCAGGACTGTGAAGAGTTACTCTGTGAATACTGCCAGAACATGCACAGCAGCGTTAAACTTACCAGAAGCCATGTAGTCCAAAACTTCTGTGACATGGAGCCAACTGCCTCGAACATTCCAAAATTTTGCAGCATCCATAAATACGACCCCCTTTATCTGTTTGATAAAAGCTGCAAGAGATTAATCTGTGCGAGATGCAGATTTGAAGACCATGCTGACCACGAAGTTGAGAAGGTTGATGTGGCCGCTGAAACTGTAACAAAACAACTGGAATATCATAAGAATGAACTATCAACCTTACAGACTCGCTACCAGGCATACATGAAGAGCATCAGGCAAGGAACCAAAGCCACTGACGAAACACACAATTCTTTGAAAGATAATACTCGTCACATTTTCCAATCTTTGAGATCACAACTTGATCAAAGAGAGAAGGAAATTCTCGTAGATATGGAAAATCATGTAAAGAAGACAAAGGCAACACATCATGCTCTTCTCACCGCCTGTGAAGAAGACAAGAAGACCTGTACAAGGGTTTTAGACTACATCAACAAAGTCTTCCTCTTTGCCTCAAAGTCAGACATCCTGGGCCTGGAGAGATATGTTGGGGAGATGACTCGGACCTGCCTGGACACTGCCGCGCCTCAAACATATGCAGTACCCACAGCTGTCTTCAATACCAACAGTTTGTCAAAGCTGAAAGCGAATGTATCCGGATTTGGTGCCATTTTGACGATGGATATGGACGGAAAATCGGAAATAATTGCTGGTAACTTAATCATTTCATCTCTAACATTGGTTCAAATGTTTCCGTCTGTTAGTGCAACATGCTGCAGCCTTTCTTCATGAATCTATATGGTAGTTAAGATATGGCTGACATACTGCCAACGTGACTTAAATTTTTAGTTTTAATTCACTCACTCATGAATCTATAATATATATATATATTTGGAAATCCACTCGGTTAGGTGAAGACTTATGATTTGTTCTTAAACATGTAGCGTTTGTAACATGCACAGAAACATAGTTCCACTGTCTATCCATGTAAATCTGTTTTGTGTTGTTTCAGATAGGGGTACTCAGACTGATGATGACTTTATGGCAGACGTGGAAATGAAACACAAAATGGTGAGTGAAGGAAGTTGTAGTACATCATACTCAGGCTCACAAAGTGCCCAAGAGGCGACTAGTGGGATCGGGTGGACTTGATTGACACATGTCACCAATCCCTGTTTGCATAGACGGATGATCAGACCCATGAAGTTAAGGGTTAGAATTTGTCTTCAGCAGTCCATGCTTGCTCTAACAGCCAACTAGTGGTCACGCTCATTTAATTAGTGGACACATGTCATCGTATCACAGTTGTGTAGATCGATGCTTATGTTGCTGATCACTGGATTATCTGATCCAGACGCGATTATTTACAGACCGCCGCCATACAACTGAAATACTGCTGAGTGTGGCGTTAAACAACATACCAAAAACAAAATCCCCACCAAGATCGATGATCATGATGTTGATTACTGTATTGTGAAGAATTATTACCTACAGAACATTGCAATATTGCTGAGTTGGGCTTTAGATAACAGGCAAACAAAGTTTATTACAATGGAGACGTTATGATGCAATGCTTCTCAACAGTCATGACTAGTATTATTCATTCCATGAAACGTTTCAGGTATTTTTGCCAATATTGTATGCACAAGATGATAAAATTACATGACGGAAATATACCATATGTCATATCATATGTTGCAGGACATGGAAGAACTAAAGACGAAAATCGACTCAGACGAAAAGCACATTGAAAGCCTTACAAAGCTTACAGACAAGCTCAATTCAGAAATCGAGAGCTTGAAATCAGTAAGTCCATTAATCTAATTATAGAATAGTCTCATTTATCTGCATGTTTCATACCTTTAGATATGTCAGCATCTTAAAGTATTTTAACGCATTGTTATTCAGAAATATTTGTCTCACAATTTGACTGAATATTTATTTAAAGCGGGTCTTGCATTTGCCGCAATCAATTTAGAAAAAGACAACTGAGCAAAATTCAAAAATGCCTAGATCATTTAAAAAGTGCATAAGTAGTCACATAATGAGACTCACATAATGAGTCAGCGTATACACACGTCTCCTCAATGACGTTGTCAATTGGCGAATTATGTCAGCAGGAATCCTATTCCGTAATTCCAGGGCCCTTATTCTCCAAACGGTCGTAGCTCTAAGATTTCTTAACTTTGATCGTAGTCAATGTGCTAAGATGACTTAAGATGTTCATAGGGCTAGGAACAGTTCGAAAATAACTAGCCAGGAGTGTCAGCTCAAGTTCCTGTGGGTTCACTGGGGGTGGTACACGCAGTCTCAGCTGACGGTCATAATTCCAGAGATGTTCATTAGGGTTCATGTCACACGTTCTGTTATGGAATGAAGGGCATCACAAAAGACCAAACACTTCATCCCTGCATCGCTGGACATTCAGATCTCCTCGGGTGAATACCAGTCTTGTTGTTCTCTGGCCATAAATGCCATCCCATATTGTGACGCCCCCTCAATCAAACTTCTTATACGCTGTTTGGCGTATAACATCTAAATAAAACATCTCGAACACTGCCATCGTTTCTGAACCGTCTGAACCGACTTTCATCTGTAAGGAGCGCCCTCTCTTAGTCAAGTCGCTTCCACTGACATACATTGGTGACGGTATAGACGGGTCAATGCCATTCCACGGAAAGGGCTCGTATACCAGCCGTACCAAGTCGTAGAAGGACTGTTCGTCTGCTGATGGTGTGTCCTTTTGCTGTCCCTAACGTTGACGTCGGCGTCACGAATTTGTTTTGAAGGTGGATCTTCCGGATATAGTGGTCTTCGGCCTGACTAGTGCCTCTTGGACTACCTGATCCTGGTCGGTATTGAATCTGGCCTGTTTGCTAGAAGCATTCTATCAAATTCCTGATGGTAGCCTGACTGCATTTGAAGGTTCTTACCAGTGGCGTTGTGAAGTCCCCATATTGGACATACCGATCGTCCTGTCTCGTTGCGCTTACGTTAATCTTGGGATATTCATGGCGTTATTTCGGGGCTACAGCATGCTTGCTCTGTCCAGCATCGGTATTAATGTCACAATCATGCTGGTGCATGTGACACAATTACGTCTTTCACGTTTTGAAAAATACACGATTCAAACGAAGTTTATGGACAGCTGCATTGTCATAGAGGGCCTTCTGTGTCTGGCCGAATGTCTTTTGCTTCGGTTCAAAACTGTACCAGCGTTAATATTTTTGTTTTTTTTATGTATACAAATACTTTAAAAGCGATTATTCTCTTTTGTCTGGTAGTTTATATACAGACAGGCGTAAAACCTGGCGACGTTCCAAATGCAAAATCCTGTACTTCTTTTCTTCAATCCCTGGGGATGTTTTGTCCACCGCCGAACTGCAACAGGCGGACTTCAGTGTGAGTCTGCTCCTTTGCAAGAAACTTGATCATTTCAAAGATATTGGGGTTCACCTTCCCCACCAATCTCTTGAGACGAGAGTGCCACCCTTCTAAATGGTATGTGGGGCCATCAGAATCATGGTGGTTCCACTGTGGTCTATGGAGGTCACCCTCGATCGAGTAGCTGGTGATGTAGTCACTGATGTCTCGGCATCGTGGGTCGTCGGGCATGGTTGCTAATGTGTCCAGCCACAGCTCCCCAACCTTTGGAGTTACAGTTCTTTTCTGTGCACTTCCAAGATATCCAATCTCTCTTCCTCTTATTCACACGATACATAAAGCCACCAACACACAGGTATCTGCCACCACGAGATGTAGGAAGAAATCGCTGATTCAACTGTGCATTTGCCATTTCGAAACTGAATGTAAACTACCTAAAGTTCTTTCCTTATATATATCCAAATTGAATGAAATGTGTTCATCATTGTAAAAATCACTCTCATATGATAACATTTATGACATTGATGACATTTTGTGTGAACTACGTGGGTGAACTATGTTCACGCCTTTTGCACGCCCAAGTTATCGACAATCTTAAAACAACACCCACTGGCGGATTAGTGTGACTCTAACAACACCTTCGCCATCAAAGTTAGCCGCAGGTCGACTTCGTGTCCATAGCGAAAATTCAAAAGGTCGACTTCGTGTCCATAAACCGACTCAAATTACACTGAGCTTAACATTGTTCGTCTGCGTTTCTGTTATAAGACACCAATGTACTGTGTCTGGGTATACAAATCCCTTTTACTGGGTGTTTATTGTACGCAGCAATTTAGAATCTGAACTGTAAATATGACATATATGTTGTATGAATATTTTTGTTGACGTCCTGTGTCCACCATTTTTGATACCCGACGAAACACACGCTATGTCCGGAGTAGTGACTTATCAGTTAATTCAATGTGATTCAGTGCTAAGGCCAAAATGTAACACTCAATAGGTTTTATTGCTGCATTCTGATTACTAGTATATTACACTGTTTGAATATAGGTGCATTGTACTAAGCTGTGAATTCCTAGCATTAAAATATCATTATAGCGAGAAATTATTCGTATTTTTCTCATGCATTATACATCCATATTTTGTAGGTTTACCTCTAAAGAATGACAAAGACAGATTCAGTCTTGCCTACGTCCACATCAACACAGAAGGAGACCTGGTCAACAGGAAGTCGGTCATTAGACCTGCAGGAGAGGGGAGACTGAAGAAGTACACCGGCACATGCAGCACTGCCCCCCTTCCCCAGGATGGCTGTCCCCAGTACTGGGAGTTGGAGAACAGGGTCAGTGTGAACAAACCACTCTCAGGGGACCGTCTCATCCTGGAGGTTGGAGTATGCAGGGAGGAGCAGAGGGATGTGACCCATTGTATAGGTGGACGTCCTCACTCCTACAGTATGAACGTCGCCCACTGTCCTACACACGGCGGGATATGCAGGAGCATATGGAAGGAGGAGAAGTATGTGCTGTGTCGGCCTTACACTCTCCCCAACACAGCAGGGACATCACACACACTACATTACGGTGTTGTCTATGATGACGCCAGGAAGAAGATTGTCTTCATTGATGTGAAGGAGAAGAAAGTCATGTCAACGCTAGACAATGTAGACTGTAGTGAACCACTGTGGCCGATGTTCGGGGTGTATAACCCAGATTGGATCACTGTCTGCATGAGACTTGTAGTGGGCAGCGACATCAACATGACGGAGGAGAAGAAAGCGATGATTGTCAAGGCGCTGTCGTGATGGTGACAGTGACATTGATTTTAAACATTTACATTTGAAGGAGATACTTAATACTAAGGAATGCAGAAAGCAAATGCACTGTAAGTCCCCATGATCCCTTGTATATTGAGCTACCTTCAGTTGTTGGCAATAAGTAGTCTGTTTTTATATTGTATTGTCTTCTATAGTTAAAAGTTTTTAGTTTTTCTTACTAGTTTTATATCTATATCTGTGGTTATCTAGTTATTTTACTTTCCTTCGTTGACAGGGTTTTATCATTTGACTTAATTTATTACGATTTTATTTATTATTCAAATCCTCGTCACGATATGGCTGCATGTGACGTTATATTTTAACTCACTCACCCAGTACTACTAAGGAACACTAAAGCTAGATATTGTTCTATATGTAAAAAGACCATTGATCACGTACATGGTACCATCATGTGTTAACATAACACTCTTACGATGAACTGCACCCCCAGCACCTATAATTGTGAAATGATACGACATGCAGGAATATGGATGCGTGGTGACCATAATTGTAAACTATTAAAAAAGGGAATTCACAAATTTTTTCTTGTTAAAATTCCGTATTGAAATCAGAAGTTTCGCCACATTAAGATGAGGCAAGGACATTTTGGAAGGGTAATTATATTACCTAGTAAGGATTGGAAAGCCACAATATGACTGTCATTAACTCGGTTCGCCTAGTGGCTGCAAGAGGTGTATGCCTCCCAGGGAGTTGAGACTGATAATACATTGTGCCGTTCGAATTTGACATCCAGTGATTGAGGGAAAATCAAAGCGCCCTTGAGCAGCTGAGCTGGATATCGGAGCTATACAAAAGATAACATAATAATTTCGAGTCTTGCAGTTGAAAGTATGAGAAAGTACTACATACCTGTTGTAAACATACAGAGTGACGAAGAGCGAAAACTGCAGCGTTGTTTTGCAAATACTATTTAGAGATACATGCAAATGGGTGATACTTCCCCTTCAGCTATTTCTTGCAAGAAAATTCGTGAATATATTTTACGGATACTTACGGATGTAAGACCGCCATAAAGCTGGAATATTGCTGAGCGCGGCGTGAAACTAAACTCACTCACTCTTGCAAGAAAATTTGTGAACATATTCTACGGATACTTCAGTGACTATTTAAGTTCCAGATCGTTGGAACAGGTTTCCACCGACTGTCGTAGTATTTCGTCCACTTCAAAATGGAAGTCCTTAACATGCATTTGTAGATTCGCACCCGAAAGTAAAGTGAGATGCTTTTATCCACTAGGCTACCCAACCGCCTCTGTTCAACAGTGGTATGGTTTCATTCAAATCTTTAAAGTGACACAGAACAGTGTATGCGAAAAGCTCCGAAAATGAATATATGTAGGAAATATTACCACGAAGATGAAAGTCAACTTCTTGCGTAATGTGTTTATACGGGTTCACATAACAAACATCACACAGCTGCTGCGTTATTGTTACCGGCATTTCCACAGGTTGTAAGGAAACCTTTCAAATATAATATAATTAACATGTGACCTCACCTCACATTAGCAAATATATCAAGGGATTGGTATTTTTTAAGAGAAAGGGTTGTGCAACATTTCAAGGCAGTTATCCGTTATTTTTGCTAACAGAGGCGGTCGGATAGCCTTGGGGTTAAAAGCATCTCTCGTTACGCTTGGGTTCGACTCTGTAAATGCAGTTGCCGGTATATTACCTCAGTCGACGTAAACCTGCGCCAACGATCTCAAACGTAAGCATTTTCGGAGCTTTTCTCAAACACTGTTATGAGTTGTCCTGAAGCTTTGAATAAAATCAAACCACTGCATTACTTTTGCATTTTGGGATATTTCTTAGTATATCAATTCATGCCTAAAGAGATTGGTTGCTTGGTTGCTTGGTTGGTTGTTTAACGCCGCACTCGGACATTTTCCAGCTATATGGCAGAGGTCTGTAAATAATTGAGTCTCAACCAGACAATCCAGGGATCAACACTATGAGCATCGTTCCACGCAACTGGGATACGGTGGCCTGTGTGAACGAATTCAGCGAACCTGACCGTCCAATCCGGTTAGTCGCCTCATACGACCAGCATGGGTTCCGAAGACCAACTTACACGGGCAGTATTCGAGCCATATCGTGACTAACACAGCCAAATTAATCACACATTTTGAAGTGTTATGTAAAATATGGCAATTTACAAGGATGCATTGCTAACTGTGCTATCGATCAACATCAATCAGAGTTAATTTCAGCATAGCTGTGATATGATACTAGAATATTTCTGTTGTGACGTTGTGTCTGAGCTGGTCTTCTATTTAAAGTGTTATAGTATCAGTATTGTAACTGACGTTCAAGTCTGGAATTGAAATGTTAGAATTGCGACTTTTGAAAGCGAAACTGTTGACTACAAATAACACAGTGTCACCTTGACCACGTTGACGTTTCAGGCTCAACTGATTGTGAGTTCGAATCTAAACCCGATCGTTACATGGTTGGTATCATATCCCACACCCTGGGTTTCATCGTAAGCGAAAATATTTAGCATGAACACACCCGCCGACACCGATGAGCTTTAATGATCCATTCATATAAATTCCAACACTAAAGCACCGTGGGTGTCCTGTGTAAATGTCTATAACCCGAGTCACCGTGGACCGCAGTCCCGAAGATAGGACAGAACATGAGCTACCCCTAAAGCGAACACCAAATCCATGTTAAATGTATATGGCGAATGCTGAACATCGAAAATATAGCCAGCCAGCGGGTACATTTGATGTTTTAATTATTTGCAGTTTTACTATCCGAAATGTGCCCTTGAAGAAGCAAATTACTTGGGTTCTATTACGTTTGCTATAAAGTTCATCGAACAGCACTTGATAATAGACTGTCACTGACATGACAGTTCAAAGGTCAAGGTGAACTGGAGCTCGCGTCTCCCGGAGTGGGTAACGTCGCTCTGGAACACTGTCACTGCTGAAAATCTCTAGTCTCGGTCTGACAAGGCTGACTAGCGTCTTGAGATTCTGGAATATTCACTGACGTTTCTTTTTCAGCTGACATTGTAGCTTCCGGATTCTGACAAGTAACAGTTTGTTCCGCATGTCTCCCTTATACTATTTGAGGAGCTACCTGAACCTCATATGACACTGGACCAGTTTTTCTCACAGCGCTACCTGGTACCCACTTTTGTCCTTCCCGATAGTTCCCTGCTAGAACTGCTTGTTCTATCTCGAACTTCTGCCTTCCCTCTGTCGTCTATCTGCCTCTGTCGTCTATCTGCCTCTGTCGTCTATCTGCCTCTGTTGAGCATCCTCCACTGTAGTAGTGATTGACGGATTTATCAAGTCAAGTCATGACCTTAGTCGACGTCCCATCATATATTCTGCTGGCGCTTTTGTCGTGGTGTGAGGTGTGTTTCGGTACATCATTAGAAACATACACACCATTTGTCGTGGTGTGAGGTGCGTTTCTGTACATCATTAGAAACATACACCCCATTTGACGTGGTGTGAGGTGTGTTTCGGTACATCATTAAAAACATACACCCCATTTGTGCTGGTGACTAGATGCCTGACTCTGAGAATGTGGCTTCTGATCCCGGATGGGACTCAACCTAACTAAAGAACTAGAATATATTCTTTACTGAGAAAGTGTAACTCCAAATATAACGCGTGACTCTACCACTGTAATAGTAATAGAAAGTGAATGGCAAGGAGTAGATTTAATATATTTATTAGAAACAGTTCATTGGATTCTATATGCCCTGAAAACAAACTAACGTTACACCCCGATTATGTGCACAAGACCAAAATGATGTTTCACGGATTGGAGTTAAGTATGGTTTGTGACTGGTAACGATGCTATGATTCAAGTATGGTTTGTGACTGGTAATGATGCTATGATACAAATATGGTTTGTGACTGGTAACGATGCTATGATACAAGTATGGTTTGTGACTGGTAACGATGCTATGATACAAGCATGGCTTGTGACTGGTAACGATGCTATGATACACGTATGGTTTGTGACTGGTAACGATGCTATGATACAAGTATGGTTTGTGACTGGTAATGATGCTATGATACAAGTATGATTTGTGACTGGTAACGATGCTATGATACAAGTATGGTTTGTGACTGGTAACGATGCTATGATTCAGTGTGATCCGATTCACAAAGCCGTTGTAGTTACTCTACATTACTGTGCATACATGGGCGTAACAAAACCTGGTTGTATCTGTACAATGTAGCAGGAATTGTATACAGTGGCGATGTAATCACAATCTGCATAATAACAATTACCTCTTATTTATGAAAATACTTGACACCTGTGTGTCACTGTAATTGTTTGTTAAAATGTATTTCTCATAGTTTCTCTTATGTTCTTCTTATATCCTACTTATGTTGTTGGAATTTCTTGTGCGCGTGTGCATTTTGTGATGATGTAAAGACAATATGCAAAATAATATTTACCTCTTGTCTATGAAAAGAATTAACATCTGAGTGTGTATTTATTTCTTGGTTGTTCTTCTAACATGTGGTTTTTGATTTTGTAAATATTTTGTTTTGTTTGTTTTATTTTGTATTGTTTTTGTGTGTTATTTAGTGTGATTATCTTCCCAATGGCGCAGATGGATGCCCATGACGTCCACTACTAGTGTGTTCGGTCTAGACTGGTGTTGCAGACCGCCGTCATAAAGATTGAATATTGCTAAGCGCAGACTTACACAGATAGACAGATGATACTGTAGATAATGAAATATTAGCTGATACGTTTGAGACATACTTCGTCTGTAAAAGAAATAGATGTCTCCATTAACATAACCATAAACACGTATTAGATTTAACAATTGTAATGCTACAGATGTCCCGTTAGGCCAGGAGCATTAGACATGACATATGAAAAAAATAGTAGAAACCTGAATTTTTCAGGAAAGCTTCAGAACATCATTGCCATGTGAAGATACAAAGTTCTGCAAATTCTACCTTGTGGCATTTTCAAAATGGCCGCCAATTTCAAGGTGGCCGCCAAAATCATTAAAATGATTATGCAAACAGTTATTTTGTAAATAATTATGCCATGTTATATATTAAATGAAAGTTCATCTCACAGGGATTCCAAATATATTGATATCATGCCTTGTGTCATATTCAAAATGGCCA